CGAGGATCCTGAAATACTTTGGGTAGATTTTTAACTCCAAATTTTGCCTGGGCAGCGCCGCTAGGCTACTCTTTTCGATTTACAACGGCCAAGGGATTTTTTATGTGAGCAACAATGCACACGGGCGTCCCATCTCACTACCCAGAGACCAGAGGAATTACTAGAAGTCCAAGTCCACATGAAAAAGTCCCAGCCCCAGTCCTTACCTGGAATTGAACCCGGAACCTCTAGCACTCGAGGTGGACACCAAGCCTCAAGACCACGCAGCCCCCCTCCCCCTTGATAAATGGTTGTGGTTACAAAAGATTGGTACGCCACTGCGCAGGAATTATAATAAAGGTCCCTCTTCCACGTATTTAGGCGTAGTGGAAATATAGGGCTAGACCTAAATTTGTATAGACCAATCGGCACTTGGTGAGTGATGTGGTCGGCATCACGCTGGGCAGGAATTATAATAAGCAGAAATCATAAAGCCTCACAATCGGCATAACAAGGCGTTCTCTATTATTATGTCTGAGTTGGGAAAAATAAACAGTTGCAATATATTTACATTTAAGTATTATTCCGTGTATATTAAACAGTAATTTATTCTCAACAAGAATGTATGTTGTTACAATGTTTATTTTTTGATATTTGTTTGTTAAAAATTTTATTTGGGTAATGATTAAGTAATAGTGTTCGATATTGATGATATTTTCTCACACACAAATATGTAAAAGTTTAAGCAACTAATTGTCACAGGTGTGTTTTTCTGATGCTTTCTGTGGTAATTGTGGTAATAAATTTATTTGCTACATAAACATTTAGGTAATTTCCACTACAGTTATACCTTTTGAAGAAAACCTTCAGCATGTGGAAAAATTTCAAGATTTCAACATATTTTTTAAGCATGCACATATTTCTAAAAGAAAAATTGACTAAATATGCAATACAAAGGAAAAATTTAAAAAATGTGACTGCAATAGTAGTAGTACATTTTATCCCACTAGGATATCACGCAAGCGATAAATACCTGATGACACAAAGTGCCACCCTGTGGATGAAGATCACCCGTGGAGAGGTCCTGGAAACCAGGTTTAGCCATTAGACCATATTTATGGCCAAGCAATATTGTGGCCCCTGGCAAGAGCCAGGGTGGGGCTTCAAAATAACGAAAAATTGCATCCCACAAGGGGATGACAAGGTATAATTATGTGACTGCAATTTCAAAACAATATATATAAATATTTAAACACACACTGTAAATCATAAACCCTTTCTGTATTTCATGTGTTTATTATAAATGAAGTGTTAACTCCTCCCAAACCGTGACCAGTAGATGGGTTAAATATCATTTGCTATTACCTTCTTGTTATTATGTTTTCTTGAAATAGATTATCTATATCTGCAGTGTTGTCTCTAGTATGAACTTCACTGACTTTTGTAATTCACTCAGTGACACGTAAAGTTTGACTTGCACCGATGTTTCTCTTGGCCAAAAGTTTTGCCTTGATATGTTGTTTTTGCTGTTATGACTACAATGTTTAGTTACCAGGCACACTGGCAGCCAAGGTTACTGTGCATTTCTTTATTTATTGCAACAACCAGTAGAAGTAAATTTTGCTGAAGTTATATCCCTTTGAATATTTTTTCCCCTTACTTCCCTTGAAAAGGCAGTTTAAAAAAAAAAAAAAAACTATTTCACTGTTATCTTCCTTGAAGCCACACATCTATATGTGTCAGACAATACAATTGTCTGTCTTTTAAACAGATAAATACTGGTGTTAGTATTACAGGGGATGTCCTGGGGGGACTAAGGGGCAACGACTCAAGATTCGATAGTGGTGTAGACAAAGATGAAGTAGAAGACGGGATATTAAATATAGAGTTTTAGTTAGACCCCTAATTCTACTTGGCCTACATACAGAGTAGTGGTGGAGACCAAGATGAGGTAGGGGATGGAAGAAAAAGACTTTCTTTCACTTTCCCGGGCATTGCAATCTAATATGTAGGCCTTGAGGTTCACTGCTACAGTTATCACCTGACTCCATTCATATCTTGCCATGTGGTGACTCCAAGTGTTTGTAAGTCTGCCTGGATATTATCTGTCCACCGTCATCTTGGTCCGCTTCATGGTCTGCACTTTGTAACTCCCTTGTGTGAACATTTTCTGCCTCTCTTTCATCTATATGTCCCAGTCATTACAGTCTATTTCAGCCCAACTCTTAACCCTTGGAAAATAAATTTTGTTCACTCATTCATTCCAATTTTTAAAATGTCTTTCAATTTACGTAGATTTTAATTTCTATTAAATACCTGGCTGTTGCTTTCAGTTTACTTGTTTAGTTGATCACTGATTTTAATTTACTCTAAGGCTGCCTTAATTAATGTTACATGTTAATGTAAGTTGAAAAAATAAAGTTGAGGTCACTTTTCCACACCTTTAGAAAATTGTATTGGGAATACAGGACTAGACCTATATTTTCATAGACAAATCAGCACTTAGTGGGTGATGTGGTCAGCATCATGCCGGATGCCTTTACTTCCCAGGACTGTACCTGGTACCCACTCAAGGCTGGGTCGACCATGTTAATGTTAACTGTGCCAAATTCTTGACCGTAAACATAATCAACGTCATAATAACAAATTATACATTACATTCTTTTTTGTCACATCATAATTTAAACATAAACAATTAAATATTTACAAAGGAACAGAACATTTGGATTTTAAAAACAAACACATTGATGTAGGCATTAATAATAATCTTAGCTAACTGGTATTCATGAATTTTAATACAGAAACTTTACAAATAGTAACAACTTGTTCATAATAAATAATAGAGAACAACAAGAAGCATATGGCAAAGATAAAAAGAAACGGAAAAATAGAATGAGAAGTTTAGAAAGAGAATAAAAGACAGCTGAATCTGACAGGAGATACCAAAGGAAATAAGCTCCATTGGAAAATAAAATGCAGAAAAAGAAGATGGAGAAAGAGAAGATTATGAAAAATATAAAGCAGACAAAAAAGGTATTAATGCAACAATGGAGTATTCAAATATTTCTTGCCTTGTTCTGCTGCTCACAACCATTTAATTTATAGCTGAATCAACACAAATAATAACAACGTCGTACCAGGTAAGTAGGGAACTGAAGTACTTGTCTTGTCCACAATTGCCTCACAGCGTAGTGGGGAGTCGCAGTTTTCTATCCTGGACCAGGTGTGTTGCACGTGTTGTTGTTAGTCCGTGTTGCCTCAGGATCTCTGATATATTGTCTATCCATCGTACTCTCAGTCTGCCTCTTGCTCTAGGGCAGTAGTGCTGTTCGTTGTATGCTCGTAGAGGCAGTTGGTCGGTTAGCATTCGCATCAAGTGGCCAAACCACTCTATTTGTTGCTTCTTTATGTATTGGAGGCATGGTGTGGTTCCTACAATTGCTCTAATGTTCTCGTTTCGAACTCTGTCTCTCTTTGTGACATTGGCAGCCTTACGTAAGCATCTCATTTCGCACGTCGTGATCTTTTTCTCCTGTGCTCTTGTTAGGGACCAGGTTTACTGAAGTACTAGTTTTAAAATATTAACCCTTTCAATCAGTGCCAGAGATTGCCAGATGTCTCACTGGCTAATCCTTATGTGTCCTAACAACTGCAACTAGCATCTTCTTATTTCTGAATTTTGGTCAGTGCATACTAAAGAAATCTGGCTACCCCTTGAAGCAACTTTCATTCACTTTCCATTCCCATAAAACTGATCTGGATAAGCGATTTTTTCTTTCTTGTCAAAACATTAAAGACTTTTATCATGCCTGCACATTTGGGCATATAGTGCTAGATTTACATTTAACCCTTTGGAGACGAAGCCTTTTTGTAGTTTCGGTGCCAAGAAGACGGAGCCTTCAGAAGGGGATTCTCATAGTTTATACACACAAAATTTAAAAAAAACAAAGCATTTAATTAACATACACAAAACTATACATATTCGTGTAGGAAATTTAATTATCTGAATATGTATGAATCAAACTGAAATCTCAACATTTATTCCAATGAATTATTCTGATTTGCATAATTCATGCAAGCAATTTTTTTTTAAATGGGGAACAAACATAACTAAGCTGAAAACTTTGGGTGAATTTTTTTATGGATGAAGCTCGAATAATTTCTAACACTTGTGTTTTTGGAAGTAAGGTCCCTGGAGGCCCTTCAGACACTTCTGGCACATGGTTCTACTAATTTTCCTGCCCCCAGCTATGTTTTGGTTGCTATGACGCAACAGTTCTTGTCACCATTTTTGGGTACAGGTAACCCCAGAAAAATATCTATGTTAAATTACAGAACACATCAAACTTTCTAGAAATCCGTCAGTGAACAGCCCATATGTGCAAGAAATGCGAGAAGCAGTCTGATTGGCTGGTACAAAAACCTGCCAGGCAATATCAAGGCTTCTATTATATAGGGCAGACCAATCCGCCTAGTCATCCTTTTGGCTGCTACTTTGTGTTGGGCCGATATTTCTGCCAAGTCGTCTCCAAAGAGTTCAGGATTAATCAGCCCTCGTTGAGTGATGTGATCAACATCACACAGGACTGTATAGGATGCAATGATGCTATCTATCTAGCTAAGCTTCTTCCTCGATTCCTTCACAAGATGTTTTCTTCCCTCTGATCTCATGATAATGTTGCCATTAAATATTCTCAGACATTCAGTACTGCTGAGGTGATGAGGCGGGTTGAGAACCAGCAGCACAGCGCACAGGACATTTCCATAAGTGCTTCACCTCCATCTTCAGCAGCCATCGCAAAGTTCCAGTACTAAAATGCCAGTTCAATTGATTACACCATATGACAAGCCAGCTAGTCACTCACACAATGTGACTAGCTGGCTTGCCATATTGTAAATTTTCTTCACAGGCTATATCGATTCACGATGAAACAGGAAAAGACTGGAAAATTAAAACATGGCCTACACAACATTATATAAAACCCAACAGCTTTTCATTAATAATTTACAGACAGCAGTTTTTATAAACCAGTGTAAACAGGTGGAGTGCTTTCTTCTCTGTTGGTCAGCGGTCGATGTTCACTTGATTCCGCAATTTTACTGATCCGCCAGCTACGGTACTTTTTCACAGCTCTGAAGGCAACAAATGCTATCAGCAGGACGAAAACTGTTTAAGGAAAAAATAAAAACAAAATAGAAGAAGCTTTTAAAGTAAATAAGAAATCTAAATGCTATTTGAAAAAGACCAAGACATGAAGATCAGATACTCTTGCGTTACTTCTACATTTGTTTTGGGTCATCCTATTGAGTATCTTAGTGGCTTACATATAACATCCATAGTGACATCTTAGACATACATAAAACAGTCAAAATAGACGCTAGGCGGGTGAACTGTTTGGAGCCGAGGCAAATTTTTTTTGCTTCTGCCGAATGGTGGTCGATGCAGTTGTTGCTCAATTTGTAGACTGGATATAGTTTCGTCGACCAGCTTGTGAGTTGAATGCATGGTGTGACACTGTGAGCTGCGGATTTCATTTGGAATGTTTTTTCCACTGTAACCAACGTGGTGGTGTGAATTGTAGGTTCAGAAAATGGCGCGATGCATGTCGTCACAATGTTGGTGGTACCAGTATGTGATTTAAAATTGATCGCGTGGGCAACTGCTGATCTGTTAGTGACTTCTGCTACCATCAATGATGAACTGCATTTCTAATGTCGGACTGTTTGTTGTGTTAGCACTTCGGATGGCTACCGTATGCTTTATTGCGAGTGTATGCTAGATATGCTGAGACAGCAGTCTGTCAATCTTTCCACAAGGGACTGTGACAAACATTCTGTGTGTTTTTCGTTGGCACAGGAGCGGAGCAAAGATGGGATGACCCGTTTGCTATGAAGCTGAAAGACTACCAGACTACCAGACTACATAAAACAAACCAGCGGCAGCACCACAGATACTATTTAAACATTTTTCCCCACTGATCTCTTTATTTCTATAGTAGGACACTGCACTGCTATACACATTAAATAAACTGTGTGTCTCAAACCAAAAGCCCACTACTCATCTCTCACAAAACAAAACATTAAGGCCATCACATAACACTGCAAGCAGAAAAATCACATGCAGCTTCTACAAATGTCCCACAAAGTTTGTCCAGTTTAACTCTGGACCTGTCCAGTCCTTCCTCGTAGCTAGCTGCAAGGTGGCCATTGCCTCATTGAACAGTCCTTAACTTTCGCCCAGTCTGTCGCTGTACTCATGTATTACTGTCACACTGCTATATCACTAGTATTTAACTCCTATCTACTTTAGGCCACCATCATTTATCGTTAGACTATGGCAGTTTTCATGTTTGACATTGATGAAGGTGTGTCATGACAACTCTCTTTGTTTACTATGAATGTATTCTTATTTTTCTTCTATCATTTTTCCCATAACGCCCTCCACCAACTCACAAAATACAGTCCTTTCATTTGCTATCATATTCCCTTCTGAGTGTCATTTTTTTGGGTCTGCCTTTATTCTTTTGACCATGTAGGTTCTGGAAGAAGGACATTCCAGTTATATTGTCTGACACTGGTACCACAATAAGTTAAATACGTCCTACAAATCTACCTATTAAGACCCACAATGAAAGCAACCAGACTTACCAACACTGACTCCCACGATGAGTGCAATAAGACTAGGCGATGCTTTGCAGTCCAAGACTTGTGTATCAATCTGAAAGAAGGGATCCTGACACCAGATTGGAGAGATGCTTCCTGGAGGACAGTAAGCCCCACTTGGACAGGTCACAGGCTGGCGGTTGTTTTGCTGAAGACACAGTCAAGGAATCCAAAGTGGTTATATTACTATAGACATGATACAGGAATCAAAAGTGATTTTATTGCCATAGACACAGTAAAAGAATCAAAAGTGGTGATACTGCCATAGACATGGTACACGAATCAAAAGTGATTTTATTGCCGTAGACACAGTAAAAGAATCAAAAGTGGTGATACTGCCATAGACATGGTACAGGAATCAAAAGTGATTTTATTGCCGTAGACACAGTAAAAGAATCAAAAGTGGTGATACTGCCATAGACATAGTAGAGAAATCTTTTTCTTTACGTTCACCTGCTGTAAACTCTATTGGAAAGTTCTGGTTGTTCGTCCACTTTTGGACTGCAGTCCTGTTCCAGAACCTGAGTGTTGCGTGTGCATCCGTTTGACAGATATGACACATTTGTGTACAGACTGTTGGTTCCTTGCCTCTCATGCAGATGAACTACGACTTCGAAAGAAGCTCCCAATTAGTCGACTCTTAAGACATGCTTTTGGGTAGGCAGTGGATCTATTCTTGTTTTCCCTATAATAGGGCCCCGGAATCAACATGGGAGACAGAAGAGAAATCAAAAGTGGTTATGCTGCCACAGATAGAGTAAAAAAATTAAAAGTGGTAATACTGCCGTAGATAGGGTAAAGGAATAAACAGTGGTTACACTGTGGTAGACACAGTAAAGGAATATTCTCCTACGTTCAACCGAAGATGTAATTGCGTTGTGACCATTTACAGTATGACCATTTACATAAATGTGCATCTTTCGCTGACATATCTGGCTTCTGCAGCCATTTATTGACTGGGTTAGCCTTCCCGTATAGTGGTTATATTGCTGTAGAGATAGTAAAGGAATCCAGTGGTTATACTGCCGTACAGACAGTAAATGAATCAAGTAGTTATACTGCCTTAGAGAAGTAAATGGATCAAGTGGTTATACTGCAGTGAAGACCGAAAAAGAATAAAGTGGTTATACTGCCATAGAGACAGTATTGGAATCAAAAGTGGTTATATTGTGCAGGTACAGTAAAAGAATCAAGTGGTTATACTGCTGTAGAGAGAGTAAAGGAATCAAGTGGTTTTACTGCCATAGAGACAGTAAAGGAATCAAGTGGTTTTACTGCCATAGAGACAGTAAAGGAATCTAGTGGTTATATTGCTGCAGAGACAGTGAAGGAATCCAGTGATTTTACTTCTGTATACATGGTAAGTGGCATTCCTGGCTTAGGTGTTCAAGTCTGACTTGTAATTCCAAAGTAACGCGATCGAAACCCACTGCTGGCTGCATGGATTTTTATCATGGTATGGGGCATCGCAGGTCCACCCAGCCTAAAATGGGCACCAGGATGGCTGTCCTGGGGAAGTAAAGACGGCCGGCAAAATGTTGACCACATTACCCACCTAGTGCCGATGGTCTGTAAAAATATGGGCGTTCTTCCCATATACCCGATACACCTTAAGGTGTGAAAAGGGATCTTGACTTTACTTATACGTGGTAAAGGTGTGTGTCCTAAAAATTCATCAAATGCCTTCTTTCTTTCTATGGGTTCCAGTGCAAGGACATTCTAACTGTATAAATATCAGATTTTCTGAGTGTGTCTTATCCAGTCATCTCCGTTTCTCATCATCTTGATTCATTGGAATTTATTTAGCTCTCTCCCAAAGCTCTACATCAGTGATTCTGTCATTCCATTCTTTTCCCACTCGTTCTGTACATAAACATCTTTATGACCACCACCACTATCATCATTCCCTGTTGTGCTATTTATATACACCACAATTGAGCGTGCAATCTATTCCCCCACACTGCTCTATCCTGCACAATCTTTTTGATCTCAAGGAGGCAGGATAAGAAGATGATTTAGGAGTCAACATTGAATTGGCAATACTCAAAACACTACAAGAACTTCAGGTCACCAAACATGAACACTATACGAAAGAAGAATAGTAAACCAACACAGAACTGGTGTTATCAGTCCTTACAAGCTGAGGGATACACTGACTGAAGATAGGATCCGAGCGCTTGTGAACTTGTCAGATGTGCAGTGAAGAAAATCTGTCGATTAACTAACTTACTAATAATCTTTTGGATATCATGGATGGAATCCAGTCCAGCACCTTTGGTCTCTCTCAACAACCTTCATTCAATAGTTTCTCTTGGCCATTCTCATTTCATTTTCATACCATCTGTTTCCCCATACAGTGCCTGTTTAGTGAACAGGTACCAGCTACTGAATGCTTGTAGTTAGTTAGTAGTTGGTTTTATAGTTCTTCACGGCCATACACTAGAAATCTTACCGGGCAGTAATAGCCTGCCGGACATTGCTTGCACTTCAGTGATCCATTGGAGCTTGTGTAGTAACCTCGCTCACACCCTTTACATGAAGAGGAATCATTACTAGGCTTGTATGTCCCTGTAACAGACAAAAACACTATACTTAAACAAAATACTAATAATAATCAAAGTTCATTTAATTAACAAAATGTCTGGGCAACCACTAGTACCAACAGTTATAAGACAGAGAAGATAGGGGGGCCTGTGACCATCTTCGTGTTAGTCTGTATCTGCCCCTCCTTCCTGGTACCATGCCTTCTGCTATTATTTCTTCCAATCCGACACAGCGCTTGATGTGACCAAAATATTTCAGCTTCCGAAACAAGATGCAGTTTATTAGCCAATCTTCCTTGATGTTCAGATCTTTTATAATGTCAGTATTTCTTCTCTTCTTTGTCCCTGTCATTCTGAGAATCTTTCTATAGCATTTCAGCTCAAAAACCCCTATTTTCTTTCTTGAGGACTGGGAGACAGTCCATGACTCACATCCGTATGTTGCTACAGGGAAGATGCATGCTCTCAAAATTTTAATTTTAATTTCCTTGCTGGTGTTAACCATAGACTTTTAATGCATTCTAGGTTTATGATTAATTACAGGACCCTTTTCCATGCCTTCAGTGTACTGTGTATACAGTGCTAGACATATATTTCACAGACCAATTGCCACTCTGTGGGTGATGTGGTCAACATAACATCAGCCATCTTTACCTTTTAGGAATTTACCTGTACCCATTTAAAGCTGGGTTGAACGGGCAGCCAAGGCCATTGTTTTTTTAAGATTTGCACTAATGACCTTCAGATCCATAGGCGAGCATCTAGCCATTACACCATGGCAGCTCCTGAGTAGACTGTTACAGGTCAATCAATATTTTATGGGTGGTGGGATCAATATCATACCAGCCACCGTAACTCTGAACACTTCATGGTGTTCATGATATAAGTGTAAAAAATTAATCAGACCTCGAGTAAACTGTTCTGGAGGAAGGTTTTTTTTCAGCCTGTTGTTACTGGTCACAAAGCTGGTGAGGGTAAGAACAATGCTTACGCAGACATGCATGAGGAAGACAAAATAATCCTACTTGGATATTCTTATTTTCCCTCCTTTGCGTTCATCCAAAGATGTAAAAGCACAGTTCCTAATAAAACATGGCTGTGATATTTGCGCCCTTTGGTCGTTATATTCGACTTCTGCAGTCATTTTTTTGCCAGGATTAGTATTCTTGGTGCTTGGGGACTGAACATAGACCCCTGTCTTGTCAGGCAGGTGAACCAATGACTCTGCCACCTTATCATCTTTCCAGATGACAGCATTCCCCTGTGCTATTGGGAGGCAACGAATCACAGCCCACAGTGATACTAATCAAGTTCCTCCTCTCCGCAGCACAAAGCAAGGACAGTCTTGTAGAGACTATGTGTTGCCAGAGCTGCTTGATCTCTCACTTGGCATGCACTGATAAGAAGATCAATGCTCTTGTCTGCATCTAGCAAGACACATGATGATGAAGATCAGAAAACAGATTTCGACAGAATGAAATTTAACTCCTTCAGCCCCAAGCAGCTGACAACGTGTTTGTCGAGCTCTATTACATGAAATATCATTCTCAACCTTCTGCTCCCCCCCCCCCCCCCCCCCCAATCCAGTAATTACATTACGTAACACTGCCTTAACTTTTGGTTTATAACCTTCTTTCTGATATTGTTATTATTTTATCTCCTTCAGGCTCAAACATTTATTAGTTACAATAACACATTCTCAGGATATAATGTGATTAAATAGCATCCAATCTGGGACTCAAAGAGTTAACGACAATCACAGAGCTTATAAACAATAACAGAGCTTATAAACAAATACAAATAACCACTCTCCTGGTTTCTGGACAGTGGTATGAGGCACACCTTAAAAGGTAAAGGTGAGAGCATCGACTTCACTGCACAACTTATAGCCAGCTGCCTACTGAGTCAGCTGCCTACTGAGTGTCACACTCCACAGCTTCAGTGACAGTTCCCAGGGATGCCGTAAACATTGCACTCGTGGCGTGAACGGCGCTGCTGTGAAACAAACCCGAGACTTTCAGAGCCTGATGCAGACGGCTAGACCACTTTGTCAGGTAGACCTCTAACCCACTTAGACCTCTAACTCTAAGCATGGAAGAGATTAGAGCTCTTCTTCTTCTTTGTCCACTGGCTGTAAGCTCTGGTGGAAAGTCTGGGTTATTCATTCATTTAAGTTTTGGCTTTGTGCCAGGGCCTAAGTTTTGCATGTACATCGACTTTACTGGCTTATTTGTGCGCAGTTGGTTGTTCCTTGCCGCTCGGGCAGATACACTCTGACTTCAAAGGAAGCCCCCAATTAGTCAGCTCTTACGACATGCTTGCTGGGGAGGCAGTGGATCTGTTCGCGTTTTCCCGACAATGGAACCCCCGGAAAGTTTCACCATGTAATATTCTCAAAGACAGAAGTGAGTGCATCACAGCTGACCTTTACTGTGGAGACAGCAAAGTTTACTAATTACAATAAACAATTACCCCCCCCCCCCCTTCCGTGGGTTCCGGGGCCCTACTATGGGAAAAACAAGAATAGACCCACTGCCTCCCCAAAAGCATGTCGTAAGAGTCGACTATTTGGGAGCTTCCTTCGAAGTCGGAGTGCATCTGCCTGAGAGGCAAGGAACCAACAGTCTGCATACAGATCTGTCAAATGGATGCACACGCAACACTCAGGTTCTGGAACAGGACTGCAGTCCAGAAGTGGACGAACAACCAGAACTTTCCTCTGGAGTTCACAGCCGGTGAACACGAAGAAGAAGTAGAAGAAGAATAAACAATTAGACAATAATATAAGGAGTAGCTAAGCACAAGAAGGTGACTAAAAATCAACTGGGACAAAATAATAGGTAATGGTGCATACCTGGTCTACAAAGGGTGCAGTGTATTGAGTCATCAGTCTCCTGCCCACCTGGACAACCCATACAATGTATACATCCAGAAGTGCTGAAAATAAAAAATAAAAATAAAAACCACTTATTCTATATTGTAAAGGCATCATAAAAGGAAAACTGAAAAAAAAAAATATTTAATCAAAATGCATATTTTCACCCTTCAATATTGGTAAGAAGAAATACATGAAGACAGTTATAGAACTGTTTTAACTCGCAAATAGGGGTGTACACAGAATTCAGAGTATCCCGGCTTGGCTCCCATTGTCGCGTGCGATGTTCGCTTGATACATCGCTCACTTGCCAAGTATCTAGGTATACTCAATAGTGTTACAGTTACAAGTCATCACTCCTGCCCAACATCAATAGAGGACGCCGGATACATGTTGAACGTCAAAGTAGATTTAATGTATTTTAACATCAGGACAATGAAAGCCATCACGAAACATGATTTTCTAAACTGCCACAGTCATTCTCACTAGCAAGGCAACACACACTGAGGACGCTCTGGGCTGCCACCCTATGTTCCGTGGTTGCTACGGGTAAACACTACACGCTCGCGCAAATCCACTACTCGTGATTACGTGACTGTCTCTCTGACACCCATCACTTGGGTACATTGTCACTAGAAAAATCATACAGGCCAGAGCACAATAGCTTGTGAAGATTATCCAGACCTTCCGTCTGCGGCCTGACACGTACTTGAGATCTCCTGATCTCACCACACGAGCTTCCGTCACGCTGGCCAGGCCACTGTAGCAACTCTCGCAGACAGCCTGGACACCTAACGCCAGCTTAACACACAGGTATGCAAGACTAACCTGGAATCATCCAGTTTAGAACATGCCTTCCACCACAGCGTTGTAGAGTCAACGGTCTCTCTCTCTCTCTTTTTACATCCCGTTCAATTCTGTACTGCAAGTTTTACGTTCCATATATTGCACACAACAGCTTTTATGGCAATCTTAACTGCATTATGAGAAAACCAGTGTGCTGAGGGCCATAAAAAAAACCATTCACGCAAACAAAATGTAACTAGTAGCAAATGTTAAACATATACACAGACATTTATGCTCGTAGAGCTTCCAGGTAAGTGCCCAGCAGGCTCGTGTGCTGAGATGGCACTGGTAGTATATTAAAACTGAAAGCCATGGCAGCATAGTGGTTACATGCTGGCATGCTGCCCAAAGTACATAGATTCAAATCCATACTAAGTTGGATTTTCTGTTAAACTGACTTTCAGAACTGAAAATACCCAGTGGTCTATAAATATATAAGCCCAACATCGTATGCATGTGCATCACTGGCATAAAATGGTCCTTTACTGTACTTTTACACTTTTAAAAACAAGGGACACAATAATACTGTTTAAAGCAGTAACAACAACCGGAAAGACGCCAGTGACGTAGTGGCTAGTATGTCTGCCTGCCAAGACAGTAGTCCTGGTTCAATCCCAGCAGGAGGCATGGTTATTTTCTTTCACCAGATGGCTCTGGGGTCAACCCCAACAAAAACAGAAAATAAATCAGGAAATAAAACATGACAAGGAAAGGGAAGTTACAACACCACTCACATAAGTAAAACAGTACAGAACCCTTTCTATGCCACTGGCACATCAGATATATGGTGTAAGACTTAAATTTTTATAGATCACTTGGCATTCAATAGTGCATACACCTTTCTAAATCCACTGTCACCATCCTCATCATATAATGCCTTGGTGATTGGATTTGGCGATTTTACCTCTCCACAATCTGCGATCTTTACAGTAAGTATCAGTGTGTGTGTGCTGACACCACTCTGTGTCTGTTTATTCTTTACGTCCTTCTTAGGAAGTAATTTTTTGTTATTTGAAACCCCACTCTGGCTTTTGCCAGGGGCCGCAATATAGGCAGGCCATCAATATGGCCAATTGTCTGAACGCGGTTTCTGGGACCTCTCCACGGTGATCCTCATCCGCATGGTGGCACTTTGTGTCATCGGGTGTTTATCGCTTGTGTGATGTCCTGGTGGGGTAGAAAGTCAGTCAGTCAGTCACCACTCTGTGACATGACAAAAGGCTGTCAAGAATCATCTTGCGTTGTTTTCCTGTTTTTTTTCCTCTCAAATCTTTCCAGTAGTCACAGCATGTTCTAGTTTCCTTCTTCCTATAACATGACCAGACAATGATATCTGTCTCTTTCTGATGTTTGTGACAAACTGCTTGCGAGGCCTCACCTCTTTCAAAACATCTGGGTTACTCTTTTTGGCGGTTCAAGGAATTGTAAGAGGATTCTTCTATAAAATCACATCTCCGATACGTAAAGAAAATGTTCACTGTAATAAATTATGAAAACTGTAAGTAAGCAGTGTGCTTAAAGGTTAATAAATTCTTAGATAATTTCACAATCCTTGACATAGCAATGTTCAATATTTTTTTTTAAAGCTCTTGGGGCATTTGGACAGCAGCATGAGAATCACACTGTGGAAAGTTTACTGGGGACTCAGTATGTAATATTCTTAAAGATAGCAGTGGCTGCATGGCAGTCAGCCTTCACTGTGGAGAGCATAAAATATATAATTTTTTTTTTTAAATTAAGCAGAAATATTACAAATGAGACATTTTATTACTTGCAATATAAGCCGGTAGGACATGCAGCACACTCAGTCTGGCCAGTTTTATCTTGATACTTTCCTGGCATGCAGGCCTTACACTCAGTGTTGTTTAGTGAACTTGCATTATAGCCTGAAAGAAAATTCACAGCTTCACATTTACAGTCTACAAGCATAGTTAATTCTATTTGCTTTATTAAATTTCAAGTCAAATAAACTTTAATGTTCAATTTTTGAAAAAAAAAAATCTACCTTTGGTCGCTGTCTGTGGCTTAGACAAACAGGCTTCGTAATTCTGAAATGCCAGGTTTGACTCCAGCTGTGGTAGATTTAGCAGCACACCACCTTGCACGCATTTCGGCAACAGTATTGAGAGGCAACTGATAAGAGGGCAAGGGCAAACTACTGAACATAACATTGCCTAGGGAGATCACAAACAGCCAAAAATTGCTGGGGTTGATTCTGTAATGTTCTGTAAGGGACATGCAGCTAACTTTATCTACATTTGGGAGCAACAGCAGTGTAGTGGCTAAATACCCACCTGCGACCCTAAAGTACTGGGCTGGTATCTCTACTGAATAGATACAGGGGGGAAAAACTGACCTTGGCTCTGAGGGAGACTCATTCAGGGGATCTCTGTGGCAAAGTGGTCAAGCCGCTTGCCTCATGCTCTGAAGGTCGAGTTTATTTCACAGCTGCACTGTTAGTTCATGAGTGCAATTTTTACAGAGATCTATGGGGATTGTCACCGGAGCTACGGAGGTCATGCTCTGTGCGACACTCTCGGCAGGCAGCTAGCTGTTCTGCGGAGAGACTGAGCTATATGGGATAAAACCCAGTGCAATGGAGTTGATCCTCTCATCTCTAGAGAGACTCATTCTATAAATGGATATTGGGCGTGTCCTGGGAAGTAAAGGCGACTAATGTGATTCTGACAGCATCATCCATCAAATGCTGAATGGTATATTCAAATATAAGTCTAGTATCATATACACAGTGTGCAAAAGGCATAAAAGGGCCCTTTACTTTTTACTTGTAATATGCCTTATAGAAATGAGATGTCTAAGAAAGACTGTAGAAGTGACCAGAAGAGATAAAAATAGGAATGAGGTCATACAAGATAAAGTCAACACAGAACCAACTCTAAATTACATACAAAGACAGCGAATCAAATTGTTTGCGCACATGGAGAGAATGCCTTATGATGCTATACCATTCAAGGCATATACCAAAAAAGGAGACGGTATAGCAAGAGGCAGACCAAGAACAAGACGGGATGATAACATTAGAGAAACTCTACAGCACCACGATATGTCTATGGTCAAAGCAGCCATAAGAGCACAAAGCAGGACCTTATTTCTCCCTCGACACCCGAAGTAACAAAAAAGGACGTAAAGAAGAAGAAGGATGTCCTAATTCTTTCAGTTTCAGAAAATTACTGATTAAATAAATGAATGAATTAACCAACTGAAAATCAACTTCACTGCACCTAACATAATAGCTCCACCTCCTTCCTCAGTGGCCAAAGAAGAGCTCCCATGTTGATGGCAACCTGTTTAAAAGTCAGCCTATCCTTTTCCTTGCCAGCTGAGAAGTGGCCAGACTCTCTTCACTTCCTGTTGAATCAGCCTCACCAAGTATGAATTCTCTGTTCCACTGCCCTATGCAAATGATTCCAAATAGCCTTTATGACTGTTTATCTTAAAGTAGTTTGCTGCCCAGAGAGGAAACAGGTACCAATCTTTTAGCCTCTTCATTTCCCCAGACACCCACATTTTCTGGGATTAAAATAAATTCCAAGATATAAATCTAGGTGTTGATAACTGGAGGGAGAACAAAAAGATGAGAACAAAACTGTTGCTTTCTTGATCAAAAGGAAATAGAAAAATCGCTATCTCAGACCGATGAAAGAGAACAAGTAACAGCCGGAGAAGAAACAAGTAAAGCACTAGTGCAAAATGTTTGGGACTAAAGGATTATATGAAACCTGGTGGATATTATTGATTTAAGAAGTTATGAATCAAAGTATGGCATCAATAATACACTACCAAATTTGCCTTTAAAACAAGAACTTGACAACTGACTACATGAATGCATGCCAACCTTGTGGGCAGGGCTGACAAAATGCTGTGCTAGTTTCATTTTTGAAATGACCAGGTAAGCAGCCAGTACATGAAGTAGCTCCTGGATGTCTAGGGAAAAAAAGGAGAGAATAAGTAATTTGTGTTATTGTATAAATGCATAAATATATGGGGAAGGGGGGGGGGGGGGCCTTTTAAAAAAAAACCACACTTAAAAGTGTGCTAGAAATTACAATAACCATGTCAATGTCTTATGACCTTTCAATATTGTAGTTAAGGATGTCAAGAGTGTTCAGCATGTCATATTACAGTGCAGGGGAACATGGTGATGTCATAATGACAGTTTAAAAATCTAAAAAGGGACAGCCCCACTTTTGACATGCACCAAAGCAGAGCAGATTTCTCTTACCCTTTAAAAAAAACTCAGTGAAGGGATGAAACCTGAAGAAATTCATCAGCGCATGCCTGTCAGTCATAAAAGTGTACGAGTGGAATAGGAAGTTTCCTGTGCTTGACAAGGTTGTGAAAATTCACAAAGGGAATAATTATCCAATTTTTCCAAAGGGACAGTGAGGGACATCTCACTTGATCTTCTCTGGCATAGGAATGGAGAAAGTATGGGGTGACCCAACTGCAAGAAGGTTAAAGCCTCGGCTAAGACTAAGAATAATTATCATAAGACACTGAAAGAGGAGTTATTATTCACATACACGTGGTGTAGCACCAGCACCATGACTCAGACTGGTCACGGCCTATCTACATGTATCTACAATCGTCCTAATGACACATGTAATACTGGAAACCTGGCCAGTGCAAACAGGCAGCATTCCCTTTGAATTCAGAGTGCATCTGCCTGAGAGTCAAGGAACCAATAGTCTACATACAAATAAGACAGAAATGTAAAACAGACGTACATGCAACACTCAAGTCCTGGAACAAAAACAGAAGTGGATGAACAACTGCTGGAGTTTACAGTTGGGTGAATGAGGAAAAGAAGAAGAAGATACACAGAAAGAACTAATATATTATACATAGAGTGCTACCAAGTTATAAAAAGAAATATTAGAAACAAAAATAATATTCATAAATATTTTTTTTTTAAAATAAACAGTAAAAAAAAAATATTTACTGACAGCGCTTCAAATCCTGCCAGACATGGGTCACAACCACTTTTACCTGCCTCAGGTTGATCTGAACCTGAGGGGGAAATAAATAAATACAAATTAATTACAGTTGTCCCCGTGTGGGTCCGAGGCACCATTATGGCCAGTTGGTGGGGACAGACCCACTGCCCCCCCCCCCTCAACAAGCATGTCATAAGAGGACACTAAATAAAGGTGTTTTCCTTCGAAGTCAGAGTGCATCTGCCTGAGAGGCAAGGAACCAACAGTGTGCAGATATAAGTTCTGGAACAAGACCAAAGTCCAAACATCTTTTTCTGCTTCTTCTTTGTTCACCAGTTGTAAGCTCCGGCGGAAAGTCCTGGCTGTTTGTCCATTTGGACTTTGGCTTTGTGCCAGTGTCTAGTTTTGTGTGTGCATCCATTTTAATGGCTTATTTGACTGCAGTTGGTTGTTCCTTGCCGCTCGGGCAGATGCACTCCGACTTTGAATGAAGCCCCGTCAATCAGTCGACTCCTACGACATGCTTGGGGAGGCAGGGGGGTCTATTCTTATTTTCCCTCACAATGGGGCCCCCAGAACATACAGGGGGAAGAAGTGGACAAACAACAAGAACTTGCAGCTAGAGTTTACAGCCGGTGAATGGTAAGAAGAATAAAGCACAGTTGGCAGACATATCTGACATGCCAAATGACAATATAGAAAAGTTAGCCGCGCATCCTTTACAGGACACTGCAGAACCAGCACCAGCATTTTTTGGCTGTAGTGGTTTTCTAGGCAAATTTAGGTCCAGTAGTTTGCCATTGCTTTCTGGTCGGTCGGCTTCTTGATACCACTGTCAAAACCAACGCAAGGGGCTAGGCCCACAGCTGGGATCAAACCCAGCACTGGGAAGCACGTTCGCAACAGCTAAGCCACAGATGCAGACCTGTCAATAAGGATATAGAAATTACCACAATAAAAACTAGAGACACAACTTTAACATGTTTATGAATGTATCAATGTACAATGAAAAACTCTAATGGGTAAATCTAAACAAGAAACAAAAAAGATTATTTCATGCCTCCAATACATATGATATATGGTGCTAAATCCACATGTTTATAGATTACTGGCACACAATACATTTAAACAGTCAACATTAAATTGGCTGTCTTTACTTCCCAAGACATTTCCATGAAACCATTTTAGGCTGGGTTGACCTGGGAACCATGGGATAATTATACAAATTCATTATCATGCGGATTCAAACCCATGCCTTCAGGCTGACAGGCAACTTCTTGCCACTATCCTACTGTGACTCTCAAAAGAGTAAATCTAAAGTATCTAACAACCGCAACAAATTAGGAGGCAAAATTTGTGAAAGAATACAATTGCCTGCATCCAACAGCATAGAATATAATTGTCAGAGGTCGTCCCAGCTATGGGACGGGAGAGTATGATGATGAGTATGATGCAGATTTACCTGTCACCGGCCTGCAACGCCATAGACTAAAACCTTTGACAAGCAGGTTTTTGACGATAATGATGGCCCATTTTATGAGATTACTGACACAACAGCCACCTGGTCTGCAAACAGAAATGTCTGCCTTGATAAGCATTTCTCTTTCTGCGTTTATCCAATGACGTAAATGTGTCCGTTTACAACATTGCTGTGATATTTGCACCTTTCGGGTGACACATCTGACTTCTGCTGCCATTTGTTGCCTGGGTTAATCTTCCCCGTTAGTTTCATTGATAGAGATTTGAACCACAAAAACTGGGGCAGAGTGAACTAGCAAGCTCATAAGTTTGAATCTCCATTAACTCTTGTAATACTCAAAAACCATTCGAACATTTCTTGGCCATTCCACAGATAATATGAATTACTGTAATTACTTTGTACCATAAAGTTGGCCCCTTCAAACGTTAAGTATTTACTGAAGCTAAAGTCCATGGGTTAGAATGAGTTAAGTGAAAATGAGTGTCAAAATGAAAGAGTTTAGACACATTTTTAACTCTTTGAGTCCCAAGGAACGCATCATATGTTCATAGATTCCTACCTAGAAGCCCAATGAACTCACGATGCGCCAATTTTATGACTCTCTTTATTACTCCCTGGGCCTGTGATGCTAAACCCCGTGGACTCAAAGAGTTAAAAATTGACCTGAGCTTCCAGGCTGACCCAGCCAAAAATGGGTACCAGGAAAGGTAATGAGAAGTGAAGGCGACTGGTGTGATACTGATCACATCCCACAAAAAGTATCAAAAATTTGGGGCTTCAATAAATGTCTTATACACTTCAAAAAATGTGGATGCGGATCCTGTTTTGTTTTTTTAACTATTAAGACAATTTAAGTTGGAACAAAAAAAAAATTATGTTTCAGAGCCTTTACTTAGTGCAAGGTAACACACTAGTGTAATCCTGCTGTGCAAAGTAATCCTGCTGTGTGGTGTAATCCAGCTTTCTAATGTAATGATTCTGTGATATACAATCCTGCTGCGCAAAGTAATCCTGTTGTGTGGTGTAATCCTGCTTTCTAATGTAATGGTGCTGTGATATACAATCCTGCTGCGCAAAATAATCCTGTTGTGTGGTGTAATCCTGCTTTCTAATGTAATGGTGCTGTGATATACAATCCTGCTGCAAAAAGTAATCCTGTTGTGTGGTGTAATCCTGCCTTCTAATGCTGTGATATATTATCCTGCTGTGCGGTGTAACAGTGTGGAATAGTGTAATACTGCTGTGTGATATAATATTTCTGTGCAGTGTAATCATGCTGTGTAATCCTTTCATATGATATAATCCTACTGTGCAGTGTGTGATGTAATCTTGATGGGTGATGTAACATTGCTATGAGGTATAATAATACCATGTGATGTAATCATGCTGTGCAATGTAATCCCACTGAGTGATGTAATCCTGCTGTGTGATATAATTCTTCCATGTGATGTAATCCTGCTGCGTGATATAATTCTTCCATATGATGTAATCCTGCTGCATGATATAATTCTTCCATGTGATATAATCCTGCTGTGTGATATAATTCTTCCATGTGATGTAATCCTGCTGTGTGATATAATTCTTCCATGTGATGTAATCCTGCTGTGTGATATAATTCTTCCATGTGATGTAATCCTGCTGTGTGATATAATTCTTCCATGTGATGTAATCCTACTGTGCCATGTAACATTGCTGGGCAGTGTAATTCTGCTGTACAGTGTTATTCTACTGAGTGGTGTATGTGGTGTTATCCCATTAAATGTAATCCCACTGTGCTATGTAATCCTAACGTTTGATGTAACATGCTGTCCAATATTATACCAGTGTGCAGTGTAATCCTGCTGTGCAGTGTGATCCTGTTGTGCAGTGTAATCCTGCTGTTTATGTAATCCGGCTGTGCAGTGTAATCCTACTGTGCAGTGTAATCATACTGTGCAGTGTAATCATACTGTGTAGTGTAATCCTGCTGTTTATGTTATCCTGCTGCGCAGTGTAATCATATTGTGTAGTGTAATCATACTGTGCAGTGTAATCCTGCTGTGTAGTGTAATCCTGTTGTTTATGTAATCCTACTGTGCAGTGTAATCCTGCTGTGCAGTGTAATCATACTGTGTAGTGTAATCCTGCTGTGTGGTGGAATCCTGCTGTGTGGTGTAATCCTGTAGTGTAATGTAATCATACTGTGCTGTGTGGTAATCCTACAGTGTAATGTAATCCTACTGTGCTGTGCGGTAATCCTACAGTGTAATGTAATCCTGCTGTACTGTGTGGTAATCCCGCTCAGGCACTCAGTGACTCACCAGCATCACATAAGCTACAATAAACACTGGCGCTCACATTAGCATACCGGCCTGGAGGACAGGGCTCACATTCTTGACAACCTGGGGCACTGGAGATGAAAGATGGTAGGCAAATATTACATTTCTTGCAAGTGCAATGACAATTTATTTGTACAGTAAACGCCTACAGAATAACATTAGATGCATAATTTGTGTTTTCTTGAATGACTATTATGATCACCATCATGTGCCCTGCTAACTGGCACAGGTGTTCATGCATTTCGACAAATCTAGGTCCCTAGTCCTCTGGGTTCCACTGATTATATTCCCTCTGTGCCATCGCCGTAGTGCATCCATCATCACATCCCTTGGTCTGACTCTCCCTCTACTACCGTTGATCTTCCCGTTGAGCCTCCCGCCTCATCACATGACCAAACACTGTTATGCTTGCGTTCTTATTCCACTTAAACTGCTTGATTTGTTTTCTTTCTTTCTTTTCCTGCATCAGATCTCTTAATGAAGTCTTTGTTTTCATTTCATTTTTCCTGCCATTGGTTTTCAGAGGAGAAGGCCTCAGGCCTCTATAAAGGCTGTGGGCAACAGATGCCCTTCAGTGATCCAAACAGCTTGGTTTCAACCAGAATGCACTTCAGTGATCCAAACAGCTTCATTTCAACAAGAATGCCCTTCAGTGATCCATACAGCTTGGTTTCAACCAGAATGTCTATCAGTTATCCATACAGCTTGGTTTTAACCAGAATGCACTTCAGTGATCCATACAGCTTGGTTTTAACCAGAATGTCCTTCACTGATCCATACAGCTTGGTTTTAACCAGAATGTCCATCAGTGATCCATACAGCTTGGTTTCAACCATAATGTACTCCACTGATCCATACAGCTTGGTTTTAACCAGAATGCCCTTCTGTAATCCATACAGCTTGGTTTCAACCAAAATGCACTCCAGTAATCCATACAGCTTGGTTTCAACCAGAATGTACTTCAGTGATCCATACAGCTTGGTTTCAACCAGAATGCCCTTCACTAATCCATACAGCTTGGTTTCAACCAGAATGCACTTCACTGATCCATGCAGCTTGATATCAATCAGAATGCCAACTGTCCAGACCTGGGATCTCTCTAATGCATGCAGAGAGCATCTCTACAGCACATGTTCAGTATTCTGGGGGGTGAATGCCCACGTGGGCAAAGATATGAAGGTGCTCTATTAATATCCTACCCCAGATGACGTCACAGGACAGTCCAACATTTTAGAGGGTGGTAAGACTGGGTTTCCGGGCTTTTTGATGCTTTTAATGACCCTAAAACATAAAGACCTGGCCCTAACCCCAATCCACCTACATCCCACGAGAGAGTCCAGCCTAGGTCCCATGACTGCATGCAGCCTAGGTTTCACGACTGCATGCAGCCTATATACCACCCGTTGAAATATTAGACTGTCCCGTGACCTGTGGATTTCCCCTGTTTGGGGTAGGATATTAATAAAGCACTGATATGAATCCCCATTCTTGAACTTCCTGCACATACGGCAGCAGAGGTTGTTGTGTACAGCTGAATGTTGAATTAAGAATCGACATCACAGCACTCGGGCCACTCCCATAACTGATTTGTCCCTATCTTCAGCAGCAAATGAAGAGTTCCAATTCCAATAGTACCAGAAACTGTCTGATTCTACATCTGTCTCGCCTTTCTCTTAAATGTTGATCAACGGCCAGATCACTTGGTAACTCGTTGCAGTGCCATTAAGCTCAGACCGTAATGATCTACTTGTGCCTCCGCCACACTGTTTATGGACACTTGCTCCCAAAGGTTCCTCACAACATCTAGCTTGTCATATATCAGTTCACCACCAAGTGGTGCAGAACCGGGCAGTCTATCTGCCTGCTCATTTCCCAACACACGAGCATGACCTGGAGAAAATATCAAAGGGACATTAACAACCCAGGACCCCTGAAGCAATGCTTGCCACTCCACACGGAGCATGCCTGTCCCCATCTTTGTGTCTAGTTTGCAATCTAAACATAATTGCTGCTATTTTGTGTGAGGATTTATGTTAGGTCTTCGAGATTGTATTCTGAATGGGATCTATTCCAATAAGTTCTATGGCTGCCTCCATCTAGGTCCTGTTTCCCACATAAATGCATGTTGCATTCAGCTGTTCGGTGTGGTTAAATGCTGTTAAGACCACAAATGACAAGCATTCAGTTTTGTCACAAAGATTTGCTATAAATGTATCTATCATTTATCAAACCCATTTTTCTTGAAACTACCATTCCGATTCCTTTTGAAAAAAAAAAAATTTAAAGTTTAGCCACTTTCAGACTGCTGCTAGCTAGTCGAAACTGCTAACATTGTCCGTCTATGTTTGTGGTCTGGTATATTTGCGTCACTTTCGTGACTAAAGTTGAAACTATCATAAACAAAACAGTATTTACACACTTCATGAAATAAGAACCCACTGCTGGCTGCGAGGATTTTTTATCGGGGTACAGGGCGTCGCAGGTCGACCTAACCTAAAATAGGTACCAGGATTATGTCCTGGGGAGGTAAAGACGGCCGGCGTAATGCTGACCACATTACCCACCTAGTGCCGATTGGTCTGTAAAAATATGGGTGCTTTTCCCATATACCCGAAGCACCTACAGTGTAAAAAGGGATTTTACATTTTTTTTAAAATACTTTTACATGAAGTAAGGTTGAAAGGTATTATTCAATGTAAACTATAAACTGAAAATCCATGTGTCTGTCTTCTTTTCTTTTTCATATAAGACAAACTCCCCTCACATTGTGAAGAGTAGAGGAGTGACATCTGCAGATGTCATTCTGGCCACAATGACTATAAATATGTAATTATTATTACTCCTTTAACTCTTACTCCCAGAATGTAGAGCTGATTACATTCCATCCTGATCAGGATTTCTCTCCCTCTCCAATTCTTCAAGTCATTCAATTCTACCTACACAGAACAAGGTTGTTACTAATTCCCACTCTTCCAGTTTAACAACACTACCCAGCTGAAACCAACATATACACCAATCCTATCATACACAGTTAAGAAAAAGAAAGAAACATATATGTACAATAGTAATCTAAAAAACACAATTGTGTTTCTTTTTATATAAAATATAACCAAGTAAACCTCAGTCAAGGAGTATAGCACCTACTAGCAAAAATAGCCCGGGCCACATGGAGTACAGGTGGCTTGCCCGGTCAGGTTATTGTAGAAACCTGCAGCACAGGAATCACATTTGACTGCTCCAGATGTGTTTACAAATGTACCTGAGGATATGCAGAAACAGAATGACCTATATTAGGATGCAAGAATATGTATCACACTGCTGATAACAGTAAGTCTGAAATGTTATTATATTTGTATCTTTTAGATCTTACTGGTGAGTTGTTCTGGTAGGTGACGAGTTAAAGCTATTCTTGTTTGGGAAAGGAACCTCTGCGGCCCAGTGGCTCAATGATTCTATTAGCTGAATGTCTTGGGTTCAAATACAAATCTAAGAGATTTTCAAAACGGGCCTAGGGTTTCTAGGTCATACCTGGCCTAAACTCGGTAACATCTAGTCCTAGGAAGCAGAGGCTGCAGACATCATGCTGAACACATCACCCATAAAGTGCTGGTTGGTTCATAAAATAAATATGGGCTTAGCATGACATGCCTGATGCAACAATGCAAGAAAAGGGCTCTCTACTTTTACATCTAATGTAGGAAAGGCAGGGATGACAGAAGTCATTAGGTATTCACCATAAAAGGAGAAGGAGGTAGAGCAAAGGTGGACAAAGAACTAGATGGAAAGATAACATCAGAGAAACTATACAACAGCATGATGTGTTTATAGTGGAGGCAGCCATAAAAGCAAGAAGCAGAACAATATATCTCACTGATACCCGAAGCAGTAAAACAGGAGGTGAAGAATTCTTCTTTCTTCTTCTTCTTGTTCACCGGCTGTGAATTCCGGCGGTAAGTCGCGGTTGTTCGTCCAAATGGACTTTTGGCTTTTACCTTGACCTGAGTTTTGCGTGTACATCCGTTTTACTGGCTTATTTGTTTGCAGTCCTCGTTCCCTGCCTCACCGGCAGCTGTACTCCGACTTCGAGGGAAGACGTCATGCCTATTTCTAGGTTGACTGTGGCCATTGTTTTGTGTGGGTCGAGATGTTGCCTCATTTGACCTTTAACAGGTGTGGCCCCCGGAATATCCTCCTTAAGGCAGCCCTAGGTAGAATTTTCAGCCCTCAAGGGAAGGCAGGGCAGATCATGGGCATTCCCCGCCATCCAAGGAGGCTTCCATAAATGCAGAGCCGACACATGATGCCCTGGTTCTGGGCTCACCCAAGGAATCGTCACGTCCTGCCCATGACTGCTTAACCTCACAACCGTGTATTGAGCTTCCCGTGCTACAAGGCTGCGCTCTCCGGAGATCAGCGGGGAGTAGCCCGCAGGTCCAGGACTTTTGTGGCCACACAAATGGGTACATTCTTTTTTCATCATACGTTAGACACCTTTAACGTTGTTTCAACTGTGCCCTTGGCACGACCGAATGGGGAAGCAAAATGCGTCAGGCGTGGCTTCACCTGTTCGGTCCCAACACTCTGGCGAATGGGACCAGTGGTTACGGACATTGGACTTTTTCCTAATCGGTACGAATTATGGTTGTCGGACTTTGAGCTTTCATGTGTGCCGTAGGATTTAACATTGTCAGACATTATTTCCTAGCCAGCAGATTAAAAGTTGCTGCCGTGGTGTACATCAGCGCGGTGACGACGACACTGAGGATTGACAGAGGATGTACGTACGTAGGATCTTGCTGCGATAATTCACCCACAAGAGATGTTACCCGTCTTGGCTGCGGGTAAATCTCTCGGTCAAGGGTTGAGTCTCAGCAGCAGTTTTCCCTTGGCTCCAGACTTTTAACCGAAAGTTGTCATTTGATGGTACATTTGGCAAGCAATCCTTACTCATGTTCCGAATGAGTTTTGATAGACTTTTCACCCATACGTTTGGGGGCGGGCTGATGAGAGCCAGAAAGGACACTACACCTCTAGGGGCCGCCAGCTCCGAGATCTCCTGCCAACTCTGTTAATGCTCACTTGAGACATTATCCGTGGCGCACGACGGGGACGTGCAGCAGGAGTCTTGCATGAGGTTCTGTAAAACCAGAACAGTGAAGGACTGGCACCAGAGTGGGGTATGGAATATCTCCTTATACACATCACATCAGACTTAACTTCCCCTCATGCCTGTGACCGAAATCACCGCGCCACGGAGGTGAAGAATGACTGACATTCAACCCCACCAGGACCGCACAACGAGCGATAAACACTCTGTGACAAAAGGTGCCACCACTCAGATGAGAATCAACAGGGTTCAAGACCCAGAAACCCTGTTCAACCGTTTGGCTATATTAGGGCACCCGACAACAGCCGGGGTGGGGCTTTAATTAAAATAACCCAAAAACACAAATGGCGTCCCATCTGAGACAGGGATAATATAAAGTGAAGAAGACGAAGACGGACTACGACAGAAGTGAATGCACTGACAGCTTGTATAAATGTGACAGAAACAATAAATGGCATTAACTGTGGGTTTACAGATATGTACATGAAATATGTGTTTTCAGTCACTCACCAGCTTCACATAAGCTGCAGTGTTGACTGGCTGTCACGTTAGCATACTGGCCTGGAGCGCACGGCTGACACTCTTGACATTCTGATTTACTGGAGGTATCAAATATTGTGTGAATGAACAGTTTACTGCAAATACAAGGGAATGCTTCTCTCAGCAATAATCACTGGATTGGCTGTGAATCCTCTAGATGACTGAGATGACGCTTAATACCATATTTCACCAAAAATAAATCCTACCCGAAACATAAGTCCTAGATCATCAGCCAGATGGACTGATTTTGTTTGTTGAAGCATACAACATACATTAAATTATAAAGTAATGAATGTACAAATTCTTGTATAAATGTATATATTTGCACTTGAATATATGTAGTTTGAATTTGAAAAAAAAAATGTTCCCAAAAAATAAGCTTTAGGACAGGGCTATTCAATTAATTTTACTCATGGACCAAAATGTCAAAAATTTGTATCGTCACTGGCCAGAGGCCCTAGTCCCAACAAAGAAAGATCATAACGCAACACACCTGGCAATCATCCGCGGGCCACTTGCTAGGATTCCACATACTGCCAGTTGAACAGTTCCCCCCCACCCCCCACTCTAAGGTGTCTTTCTGAGCAAAAATTAATATAAGACCCAGTCTTATTTTCAGGGAAACAGGGTACCTATTACACCACTGTTCTAACTAGGCACCACAGTAACAACAGGGTACCTATTACAACACTGTTCTAACTAGGCACCACAGTAACACTCCAACAAAGAATATTTTGCAGAGCTTGCTTTCTATTCTCTGAACTAAGAAACCAGAAGGGTTTACGGGATCAGTTGCTGGCATCTTTCCAGAGGATCTATTCTACTGTGCTATTGCTTTATTGTAGAGGGCAGCATGGGAAACACAGCCGATGAAGATAGCCAGTGTGACTAGCAATGTGTGACTAGCAATGTGTGACTAGCAATGTGTGACTAGTCATGATTCAGCACAGCATATACAGGCACACCTGGGATCTGTCTAGGCTGGCAATATTTGCTCCAGAGTTTGGATATTTTATGTCAACAGAGTTCGACCCAAGCCTGGAGAGAATAATCAACAAAAGGTGACAGGCTTAATCACTTTTGCTCTTTTGGAACGACTGCTCTATTTTCATAAGCTTTTGTTTAAAAAAGTTTGATTTTGCTTCTATTTTTGTTTGTCTGGTATTAATTTGATGTTTTTTTTTTTTTGTTTTTTTTTTTTAAAGCTTATGTTAATAATTTTTTTATTTTTTATTTAGATCACAGTAACATACAACGGCGGTTAGGATATTCAGGAAAACATAATATACTGAAAATACAAATTACTAGCCATAGCTTTCATAACAAAATTGTGATAAACTGTAAGTGTTTCAATTATGAAAAACGGTTGACTGCACAAAACTAAAGAACAGGTAAGTAATACACTACAATAACTGTAGCTACTCTTTTTCTATTTATTAAGTCTTATAACACAGTGTGCCATTAGGTCACTGAATTACTGTCGACTGACCAGGTCTCTCCATTTTGGGTGATCGGATGCTTTGGACTTGGTATTTCTGTTTAAGGTCCATCTAATCAGCCACATTTTAGATCCCCAACTTTCTTTGTCTCTTCTTCTTTCCTTGTACTGATCCCTGTGGTTATGGTTTTGGAAAAGCCCATAAATTTTATCACATGTCCACAACACAGAATTTTGTCTCTTTTTATTGTTGTCAACAGGGACTTATCCTATCTTATAGTCAGAAATCTCGTCACAACCATCTTCACATGGTCCTTGAAGGACAGGATCGAGTCAAGTGTGATTCCCAGATACTTCAGTGAGACTTGGGACATCAGCTCCTTATGTGAGCATGTGTACAATTTGGAACAGCAAATAGATCATCACAGTTTGACGAGAGCGATGCAGCGAGGAGTGACGAGGGGATCTGGCCGATACTTGATGCTTAGAGGTAAGGCGAGATGGACATATAATCAGACTGCTACTGGCACCACTAGTATTGGAACTCTTCTGAAGATGGGAATGGAGCGGTTTGAGGAATGCCCAGTGTGCTGTGATGACAGTTCTTAAATGAAATCACAGTCAGAAACGAAATAGATAAGTCAGTAAATGACCAATAAACCAAAGTTTTTATCATGCTTTTATCATCACATTTGATGATATATTTTTCTATTTATCATCATATCATCATCATTTGTTCAAGTCAACCAAAGCAAATCTCAGTTAGGATCTAGTTTACCACCTACTTGCAAAAATGACCTAAATCGCATGGACTACAGTCAGTTTGTCCTGTTTGATTGCTGTAAAAACCTGCAGAACATAAATCACATTTGGCTGCTCCAGATTTGTTGACAAATGTACCTGAGGAGCAGGAATAGAACAACTGATATTAGGACTAAAGAGAGTTGAACATCCTGCTACAGAAAACAATATGCCAAAAAAGATTATCTGCCACATTTCAACCTTTTACATCTTGAAAAGTAGTTTTTAAGTGTGGTCACCAGATAGATGATGAGCTAAAAAAATGTTCTTTTTTTTTCTTTTCAGGAATGGAAACCTCCGTGTGGGTTCTAGAGCTTCACTTGGGGGAGGGAGGGGGGGGGGGATAGAAGAAACCCACTGGCCTCCTGATAAGCATGTCCCAAAAAGAGACCAATCAGGGGTTTGCTGAAACTGGATGTGCTGCGCCGAAAGGTGCAGATGCAGCAGCTTAGGTGTAAACCGCAACATGTCAACAGCTTTTTTAAGGGTGAATGGAGGAAAGAAGGAAAGTATGACAGTGGTATATGCACTGAAACTGATCTTCTTAACTTTAACCTTTACGAATACTTAACCCTCCTTAAAGCATACTATAACACTGTAATCTGGACAGACTGAAAGATGCCAACAACAATAAAGTTTCTTAGTGCAGTCCTCTACTGTTAGGAGAGGGGAGGGGAGTTTGGTAAAGGATCACTTTCATTACACACAGACATTCCTTTAAATGCTCCAAGGATTCAATAGCTAATTTTCCCATTTGGTGGCCTGCTGAACAAATTTAAGGGGTCTGTGATACCATTTAATTTAAAAAAAAAAAAAAAAAAAAAAAAAATTCTTTAATTTAGAATGCAACTCAATTTTGTGTTCTTCTTCTTCTGTTCAAAAGTTCTGGTTGTTCGTCCACTTCTGGACTCTAGTCCCTTTCCAGAACCTGAGTGCTGCATGCACATCGGTTTCACAGGTCTAACTCATGTATGCAGACTTGGTTTCCTGCCTTTCAGGCAGATGTACATCATCTTCAAAGGATGCTCCCAATTAACTGACTCTTACGACATGCTTTTGAGTAGGTAGTGCGTCTATTCTTGTTTTCTCTACAATGGGGCCCCAGAACCTACACAGGGAAGATCTTCAGTAAGATTATTAAGAACTATGGTGTTGTTGAAGGTCCTAAGAGAATAAGAGGGTCCACAGGTCTTCGCTAATTTGGAACCGGTCTTAACTAATTTGGAAACACTGCTATAGATTATACAAGGAGGATTTTAGTACATTGCCTAAGTGTTTGGTACCAGCTTGTTCAACTGGGGTTGCAGTGGCTTACAAATTATAATGCCCATCGTTAACCGAAGTAGACCTTGTTTATACAATGGATCAACATCATGGCACAAGAGTAGAAACCCATAAGTGCTCCATTCTGCTTCTAACTGAAGCCTGAGTAAGAAGAATCTCAGCACAATGCATGAACTCCGTTGCACCAGCGAGGATCCTGAAATACTTTGAGTAGATTTTAAATTCCAAATTTTGTCCGGGCAGCACGGTTAGGCTACTCTTTTTGACTTCCAACGGCCAAGGGATTTTTTACATATGCAACAATTCACACATAGTCCGATTTCACTACCCAGAGACCAGGGGAAGTCCACATGACAAAATCTCAGCCTTCACCTGGGCCTGAACTCGGGACCTCCAGCACTCGAGGCGGACACCATGCCTCGAGACCACTCAGCCCCCAGTAGAAGTAGATCTGGATTCAGGGCATGGACCGCAGATTTTTAAAGAGCAAGAATATACTGGTATACGCCTCCCTGATTGTGAGGTAGCGGATGAAAGTTCTAGCCTTTTTGGACAAGTGCACACAATTTAAAAGACCTGCATGAATGTCACACATGTTAAAAATTCATAGGCTTGGGTGGGAGAGCACGCCAAAAAAGACTGCTGCCCTGGCTAAATTTTCAACTCAAATAACTATCCAGGTGACGTGGAATTTGTGCACTGGGCTAAGGTTCTTATTGTGCATTCTATATCAAGATTTGGTGCTCAAATAGATATCCATGTACAATGAGTGTTTTTTAAACACGTACACACACACACACAGAGAGTCAAGGACCCTTTTTACAACCGCCACACTGGGCATATGATGTGAGTCTTATTTGTATATACTTATTGGCACTTAATGAGTGATGTGGTCAGCATCATGCTGGCTGCCTTTGCTTCCCAGGACATTATCGGTACTCATTTCTTGATGGGCTGACCTGGTAACAATAAAAATATCGGGTGGTCTTTCAGTTACTCACCGGCTTCACATAAGCTACAGTTTTGACTGGCTATCACATCAGCATACTGGCCTGGACTGCATGGCTGACACTCTAGACACTCTGTTTTACTGGGGATATAAAATATTGTGTGAATTTACAATTCTGATTTTGTATTTCAGTTGAAAGGATTCGCTCATGTCTTCTTCTTCAGCTTTCTGAGCCCCTGCAGATATCCCCCATCTCCATCATCTCTTTGGTTGGTCTTCTCTTTCCAGTTGGTGACACCAAGTGTTTGCAGGTCTGTCTGGACATTATCTCTCCATTGTCTTCTTGGTCTTCCTCATGGTCTACGACCCTTCCTAGTGTATACAATTTTTACCTCTCTGTCATATGATATTCTTTCAATATGCCCCAACCATGTCAGTCTATTAGCTCTCATGATGCCAGTGATCAGTGGTGATTTAAACAGATTATAAATTTCGTTGTTGTTGCTTCTCACTCTCCATTCACCGCTATTTGCAAATTTGATGGGTCCAAAGATTCGTCGTAAGACTGTTTTTGAAAATCTGTAATAAGGCTTTATCTGATTCGCTCAAGTGCTTCCAGTTTTTAAATTATCAGCATGCAGCTGATGTGATATAGCGAAATATGCCAGGCAATGAAATTTGAAAATTTTGCAATTCTCCTTCTTCTTCGCGTTCACCAGCTGTAAACTCTGACGGAAAGTTCTGGTTGTTCATACATTTCTGGACTGCAGTCCCGTTCCAGAACCTGAGTGTTGCATGTGCATCCGTTTTACAGATCTGACTCATTTGTATGCAGACTGCTGGATCCTTGCCTCTCAGGCAGATGCACTCTGACTTTGAAGGAAGCTTCCAATTAGTCGGCTCTTATAACATGCTTTTGGGTAGGCAGTGGGTCTATTCTTGTTTTCCCTATAACAGGGCCCTGGAACCCACACGGGGAAATTTTGCAATCAACTGTAAGAGTTATTCTTTTTTTTTTTCTTATACACTTGCGATGGCAAAACATTGCTTGATTCAGTTTGCTACCTACTTGCAAAAGTGGCCAAAGTCACATGGGCTACAGTCAGCTTGTCCAGTCAGGTTACTGTAAAAACCTGCAGCACATGCATCACACTTGATGGCCCCAGATATGTTGGCAGATGACCCTGAGGATGGGAAGAAGCAGAATTATAACTGACAGCCCTTCACCCGTGTGGGTTCCGGGACTCTATTATAGGGAAAACAAGAATAGACCCACTGCCTACCCAAAACCATGTCGTAAGAGTCGACTAATTGGGAGCTTCCTTTTAAGTTAGAGTGCATCTGCCTGAGAGGCAAGGAACCAACAGTCTGCACACACATGTGGCAGATCTGTCAAATCCACGCAACACTAAGGTTCTGGAAAAGGACTGCAGTCCAGAAGTGGACGAACAATCAGAACTTTCTCCCAGAGTTTACAGCTGGTGAAGGCAAAGAAAAAGAAGATAACTGACAGCAAATACACAGGCCAACAATTAATAGTGATTTTACTATGGTGAAAACAAAAATACCATCCATGAAGCAAACAAAGCATGTCATCCAAACAGGCACCATCCGTCTATGATCTGGCAAAATAATAACACCAACTGTTCAGCATACGACAAGTAACCCGCAATTTTTTTTAGCTAGTGAAAATTGTGTCCTTACATATGCTGAATGGAGCTAAGAGTGAACATTAAGTGTTCAAAACTCGGAAAAGTGTTCATGAAAGTGCTAAATTGATAAGTTATCAATTATTACTTAACTTATTAATTGATAAGTTTATTTGGATCAATGTTTATTATGAGGTGTTATTCACAACTCAAAACTGTTGTGGACAACATTTAATCTAAAGCTGTGATCATCATCATCATCATGTAGCAGGTCCTTTGCAGAACATCGCTCTCATCACAGTCTACCTGAAAGAAACTTAGTCTCTCGCCAGTTCTCCCACCTCATGTACTTTTATACTCCTGTGCCCATCTTCGTGTCAGTCGGCCCCTGCCCCTCCTTCCTGGTACCATGCCTTATGCTATAATTATTTCTAATCCGCAAAATATTTTAGCCTCCGAGACAGGATGCTGTTTATTAAATAATCTTCCTTGATGTTCTGATCTTTCAAGATGTCAGTATTTCTCCTCTTCTTTGTCCAAGATATTCCGAGAATCTTTCTATAGCATTTCAGCAATAAAAGCCCCTATTCTCTTTCTTATGGACTGGGAGACAGTCCACGACTAACATCCGTATGTAGCCACAGGGAAGATGCATGCTCTGCAAAATTCTAATTTTGATCTCCTTGCTGGTGCTTAAACATAGACTTTTAAAGCTGTTTAAGGCTGGGATAGGACACCCAAATTTCTGTTCATAAACTCATGGACAATGTCAGAGAACAGATGACACCTAATTAACTAACTGAATGCAACTAACCTGGTTGGCACGGACTACATACTGCTGAGCCAGCATCTGAAGCAAAATGGCCAACTGTACAGTTCGTACAAACTTGAGAGCTTGTTTTGTTACTGCAAAACACCCATACATATCAGTATTATTACTATTTTGGAGGAAAAATTCTAGTATGGGTTCCAGGGTCCTATGCTTGGGGGGGGGGGGGGGGGAATGTGGGGGGCAAGAAAGAATAGACTCTCTGCTGCCTTCTTTTTCTTTGCATTCACCAACTGTAAACTCAGGCCGAATGTTCTGGATGCCTGTTCACCTCCAAACTTTAGTCTTGTTCCAGAATCTGAGTGTAGCAAAATTATTCACTATAATTTACAGGCCTGAAAGAGTGTGGTTGTTGTGTAGAACTAGGGGCAGAAGAAGTGCATGGGTTTTCATAGCAAAGGCAAATGGAAGTCACCTAGTGCAGCAAAGCCTTGCAAATGATATCACAATGCCTAGTTTGAGAATGGAGGTGGAGGCAGTCTCTGCTGCCTTCCGCTGGCTTGAGAATCGGCTGTACACACATGCCGAGGTTGTAACTGACTCACAGAGCATGTTGAGAAAGGTGAAAACAGACATGCTTCGTGCAAAGTGGCAAGCATCACCTCAGAGGCCCCGGGTAGTTAGCATCCTTGGAATATTTTCTTCAGGTCATGCCGGTGTGTTGGGAAATGAACAGGCAGAAAGACTGGCTGGCTCTGCATCGCTTGGTGGTGAACGGATATGCTAGATATTGTGAGGGCCCTTTAGGAACGAGTGAATAGTGATGAGGCTCAGATGGATCTTTACGGGCTGAGTAGAATGGCGCTGCGAGGAGTTACCAGATGATCTGGCTGGCGCGCAACATTCAGGGGAAGGATTAGACGAATATACAATCAGCCAGTTGCTGGTAGCATCGGAATTGGAACTCCTCGCTAGCTGCTGAAGATGGGGACTGAGCACTTATAGGAGTGTCCCGAGTGATGTGATGTTGATTCTTAATTCAACATTCAACCTGGGTGTAGATGAAGGAGGCGGATGTTGGGATTCTAACCACATCACACTGAAATGAGTGTTTTGCCATGAGAATATCAACCTAACATCACGTACTCGGGGAGGGGGGGGGGGCCACTGCAGCACATTGGCTAGGTCTCTGGTTCAAAACAACACAGAGGCCATTTTTTGTCCTAAAACTGTCCTAACACCCTAGGTTCATGCTGCTGAAAACGGACAGCAGGACACATGCGAAATGAAGACAGCTGGCCAGATTTTGACCCTATCATTCACTGAGTGTTGACTGATTTGTACAAGTATGGGTCTGGCATCAAATGCTTGATGAAAGAAGGGTTCTTTTCCACTTTACTTACTACGATGATCAAGTATGCCACAAGGACATGGAAACTAGGTCTTTGTACTTCTTCTTGTAAAATTAAAGAGGAGAAGGAATCGCATGCCGAATGGTTTTATTAATAGGATAAATAACTGTCTTAACAGTCTACACTTATCACTTTCTAGGGCAGTGCTGGACAAGGCATCTTGAGATTGAGGATTCCGGGCTGTATGGGGTCTTGAGATTGAGGATTCAGGGCCATATGGGGTCTTGAGATTGAGGATTCAGGGCCGTATGGGGTCTTGAGATTGAGGATTCCGGGCTGTATGGGGTCTTATGATTGAGGATTCAGGGCCGTATGGGGTCTTGAGATTGAGGATTCAGGGCTGTATGGGGTCTTGAGATTGAGGATTCAGGGCCGTATGGGGTCTTGAGATTGAGGATTCAGGGCCGTATGTGGTTTTGAGATTGAGGATTCAGGGCTGTATGGGGTCTTGAGATTGAGGATTCAGGGCTGTATGGGGTCTTGAGATTGAGGATTCAGGGCCATATGGGGTCTTGAGATTGAGGATTCAGGGCTGTATGGGGTCTTGAGATTGAGGATTCAGGGCCATATGGGGTCTTGAGATTGAGGATTCAGGGCTGTATGGGGTCTTATGATTGAGGATTCAGGGCTGTATGGGGTCTTGAGATTGAGGATTCAGGGCCGTATGGGGTCTTGAGATTGAGGATTCAGGGCTGTATGGGGTCTTGAGATTGAGGATTCAGGGCTGTATGGGGTCTTGAGATTGAGGATTCCAGGCTGTATGGGGTCTTATGATTGAGGATTCAGGGCTGTATGGGGTCTTGAGATTGAGGATTCAGGGCCGTATGGGGTCTCGAATTGAGGATTCAGGGCTGTATGGGGTCTTGAGATTGAGGATTCAGGGCTGTATGGGGTCTTGAGATTGAGGATTCAGGGCCGTATGGGGTCTCGAATTGAGGATTCAGGGCCGTATGGGGTCTCGAATTGAGGATTCAGGGCCGTATTGGGTCCTGAGATTGAGGATTTGGGCCGTATGGGGGTCTTGAATTAAGGATTCAGGGCCATATGGGGTCTTGAAATTGAGGATTCCGGGCCATGTGGTGTGGCTGGTACAGTGGCCACAGACTGTGCAGGTTAGAATTTGATCATGATGTGAACATCAGAGGATCATAGCTACTGTAGATATTAGTTAACAGATGTGAACATCAGAGGATCATAGCTACTGTAGATATTAGTTAACAGATGTGAACGTAGGAGGATCATAGCTACTGTAGATATTAGTTAACAGATGTGAACATCAGAGGATCATAGCTACTGTAGATATTAGTTAACAGATGTGAACATCGGAGGATCATAGCTACTGTAGATATTAGTTAACAGATGTGAACGTAGGAGGATCATAGCTACTGTAGATAATAGTTAACAGATGTGAACATCAGAGGATCATAGCTACTGTAGATATTAGTTAACAGATGTGAACATCAGAGGATCATAGCTACTGTAGATATTAGTTAACAGATGTGAACGTAGGAGGATCATAGCTACTGTAGATATTAGTTAACAGATGTGAACGTAGGAGGATCATAGCTACTGTAGATATTAGTTAACAGATGTGAACATCAGAAGATCATAGCTACTGTAGATATTAGTTAACAGATGTGATCATAGGAGGATCATATCTACTGTATACAATAGATGTGAACATCAGAGGATCATAGCTACTGTAGATATTAGTTAACAGATGTGAACATTAGAGGATCAAAACTACTGTAGATAGTTAACAGATGTGAACATAGGAGGATCATAGCTACCGCAGATATTAGTTAACAGATGTGATCATAGGAGGATCATAACTACTCCAGTTATTAGATAACGGATGTGAAAATCATAGCTACTGTAGATATTATTTAACTGATGTGAAAACAGAAGAATCAGAGTTACTGTAGATACTAGTTAACAATGTACAAAATGAAGGGTTATAACTATTCCACTGATTAGTTAATATATGACAACAGCTTTTGCAACTGTACATTCAGCTTGTTAAATAAAACACAACCTAGCTCATGAACAGATGTTTAAAAAAAAGTCATGGTAGAAAACTAATAAATTCAATTAATTGCCAATTTTATGAAAACATTCAAGCAAAAATATCATACTTGGTTGAGGTGCCATTTGGGCACTCGTTGCAGTCATCCTGGCCTGGATTTGGTTGGTACTGCCCAACTGAACATCCACTACAGAATGTCGTATTGAAACAATGTCCTAGGTCTACACAGCAGCCACACTCTTTCCGGCCTGAAGATTATAATGAATAAACGTTCTGTGTCAGAGGTTCCCAATTAGCCTCAATCTATGGACTCCTTTTATTTTCAAAGGTCTACTGTGGACCCCATAATCCGTAATAGTCACACTAAAGAGCTTACTGTAATTTATAAATATTAGACTTGTTAAAAAAAAAAAATGACTGCATTCTTCTTCTTCTCAGCATTCACCAGCTGTAACCTCCAGTGGAAAGTTCTGGCTGTTCATCCACATCTGGACTTTGGTATTGATCTAGAACTTGAGTTCTGCCTGCAAATTATTTTTTTCCTCTTCTAATCTAGATCTTCAGATCTGTTGGATTGTTACTTCTCAGGCAGATGCACTCTTTGAAGGGACAAGCCCCCTCCCACCCTCCCCTCACCAATTAGTCACTTATTAATGACATGCTTGTTGGTGTATGGGGAGGGGAGGGGGGGGGGTGGTCTGTTCGGTTCCCCCATTATGGAGCCCCAGAACCCACACAGGAAACTTTATTCTAAATTTAAAAGTTTCAAAAAACAATAACCACAGACCTCTTAAATTTGTTTTGAGGATTCACAGGGGCCAGCAGAGCACCAAACGGGCAACAAACTATTTTATGTGTTAGTCTGGCTTGAAACTAATGGTTGCTGCTTCATGTCTACTTATGGAAAATCATGAATAATAATGGTTAAGAAAAATGATATCAGTCAGTACAGAACCAATACTGAACTTTATAAGTAGACAACAAATAAAATGGTTTGGTTATGTAACAAGAATGGCATCAGACGGCAACAATGAGAGCAATGTTATACATATACAACGGTAACAGAACCAGAGGTCGACCATGAAGAATATGGAATGCAGAAATATTGAGACACTGAAAAGTACTTTAAATGAAGCAAACAGAAGGCGTTCCAGAGATCTTTTCCTGCCCTGATGCAGCAAGGTATTCCACGAGTAGAGAAAAGAAATAGCGTTCAAATCACCACGAAGAAATTGATTATTTTTTCCTGACAAGGCTCCCAGTTTAGCCTAGCCTAAAATAGGTACAAAGATTTCTTCTGTCTTCGCTGGCTGTCAAATCTGATGTTATGGCCTGGTCACCATCGCTATCTACACTCTGGTCTTGTTCCTGAAGGTTGCGTACATGTTTGGTTCTGGGATCAGGTATACTGGATGCAGACTAGTGAGTGGGGGGTCCCCATGGCAAAGTGGTCAAGCCATTTGCCTCGCACTCTGAAAGTCGTGGCTTCATTTCACGTTTAATTCACAAGAGCAATTGGTATGGAGATCCATTGAGATTGTCGCCAGAGCTACAGAGTTCATGCTTTGTACAGCACTCTCAGTAAGTGATGATAAAACTCAGTGGAATGAAGTTGATCCTCTTGGCTTTAACCTTTTAGACTAGTGAGTGGTTCATTGTCTCTCAAGCAGATGTGCTCCATCTAAATGTCTGTTCAGTCCTAGGTTGGCCCTCAGGTGGGAAACTTGTTTATAGGATGACCCCACAGAGGTCTAAATAGGTCTTGACTAGTATTTATAAACAGGCACAGAAATGGGAAACAAATGTACTGAAGAAATCAGGATGCCCAACGAACACCGATGGAAACGGCCAAAAATGCTGGATTGGATTCCACTCATACTATTAAAAAAACAGAACAGGATCAGACGGTATGGAACGACCTCAAGCCCTATGTGCTTTGTGATGATGATGATAAAAAATTACATCAGAAACTACCTTTACTTGAAGGATGATTTGGTAGATATAACTTTGTCTGAGTTCAACGCTTCCTGTTCCAAACAACTACCACGTATGATTTGATATTATTCATATTTACCAAATAAGGCCAAACTACGAATCTTCCATTCTAATGTTAATTCAATTTTAACATATGCCAGGGAAAGTGGGAGAACCACCGAAAATATGGAATGAAAAGTTAAGCATTTGAAAAAATGTCTGAGAAAAATCATGAACACAGCCGTGATAAATTCAAAAAAGAGTGAGGAGATCAGAGAAATATCTCAAGATAGCAACAGAGAAACTGCTAAATACCAATCTTGGCTCACAGTATGTGGAAATGCTGACAGATGCAAAATCAGTACTTGAAGCACTCCAGTCTAGGAAACTACCAGAATTGCAAACACTGCTGACACAACTCAGCCTTCAGCGAAGAGTTGTAATGCAGTGGATACCATCACATTGTGGAGTGCCTGGAAATGAGAACGCTGATCAACTGGCAGAAGAAAGTGCGACAAAAGTGCAGCCGGATGTACCAGTCACATACCACCAAAAGAAAAGAATCATTAAATCAATCAGGAAACCACCAGCCCCAGCACAAGATGACTATTTTATTATGGACATATCAAAACAAGTCATTATCCTCTGCCTCAGAACAGGGCACAACCGATTACGTAACCACATGTAAACAAAATTCAAGATAGGCGTATCAGCCATGTGCACATGTGGAAAGGTGCCCCAGACAGCAGAGCATGTACTCCAGGACTGCACCGAATTTGACACATCAAGGCAAACCTTTTGGCCAAAAAGAACAACAGTGGAATGTAAACTCTATGGACCACTGAATGAATTAACAATAACAATGAAATTTATACAAAAGACAAAATTGCTGATATAGACAACTTATTTCAGGTGAACGAAAGAAGAAGAAGAAGAAGAGAAATATCTGGGCAAATACCAGTACTGGCTGCAATAAGACAAAGAAGGTGGAGATATATTGGGCACACACTGAGACAAAATAAACAAAGAATTACAAAACAGGTACTGAAATGGGGAAAAAAGTATGAGAAAAAGAGGACGTCCATGGGGAAATATTAAGGACATTATTATGAGAGGCAAAAAAATTATGGGCTGAATTCAATGTCAGAAATCGAGAGAGTTGCTTGCAATAGAGCACAGTAGAGGAATTGACATCTAATGGCACACAAAGGATGATGAGGACATTTACCAATTATCATTTTATATACATCTACACCTATATTTAGTCACGAAATCTATAGAATTGTGACAAGAAATTTGTTTCCTACAATCTTCTTCTTCATCAGCATTCTGGGTCTCTAAGACTTACTGCTTCTCTTTCCAGTTGGTGGCTTCAAGTGTTTGTAGGTCTGACTGTCTCTCCGCACTATCTTCTTGATCTTCCTCATGGTCTACTCTCATTCAGCACTTCTGCATATGCAGTTTTTTTTCTCTTATTTATCTGCCATTCTCTATATACATCCCAGTCTTTGAAGTCTACTGTCACTCATGTTGCCAGTAATTGGTGGTGATTTAAAATGTTGTCTTTTTATGTTGCTGTTCCATATTGAGGTGTGTATCTGGACCATTTGGAAATAGTACCCCTATGAGTTTGGTGTTTTGATTACTATACGATATACGAATATCTCTTGCACTGAATGGATAAAATAATGACTCTATAGGACATGAACATTAAAAGGATAACTGTTGAAAGGATTAAATAATGACTCTATAGGACATGAGCGTTAAAAGGATAACTGTTGAAAGGATTAAATAATTACTCTATAGGACATGAGCGTTAAAAGGATAACTGTTGAAAGGATTAAATAATGACTCTATAGGACATGAGCGTTAAAAGGATAACTGTTGAAAGGATTAAATAATGACTCTATAGGACATGAGCGTTAAAAGGATAACTGTTGAAAGGATTAAATATGACTCTATAGGACATGAGCGTTAAAAGGATAACTGTTGAAAGGATTAAATAATGACTCTATAGGACATGAGCGTTAAAAGGATAACTGTTGAAAGGATTAAATAATGACTCTATAGGACATGAGCGTTAAAAGGATAACTGTTGAAAGGATTAAATAATGACTCTATAGGACAAGAGCGTTAAAAGGATACATAAGAAGTTGGGAAAAATATATTATCTATGTGGTAATCAATAAGGGTAGGGAAGCCTGCATTTCTCAATGACCCTGAGAGCTCTCCTGGCAGTAGTGTACCTACCAGCAGGTCAGATCAAAGGGTAGAGAACTGACCCAAAAAAAGAAACACACTGGCCCACCAGGTAAGGGAGTGAGGCATGAGACTGACACCCCAACCTTTGAAAAACCTCATTTCATCACTAACCATACGTCTAAGCCTATAAAAAGGCCAGTCAGAGAGGAATGGTGGCAATGAAACGCAAGGGCTCAGAATGGTGAAGAAAGAAGTAATCCATAAGAAAGCTGAGGTAGCACACTGGCTAGATGCTTGCTTACTGGCCTGGAGATCTTTATGACTAACCTTGGCTTTTGAATCAACCCAGCCTGAGTACTAGGAAATGTTATGGTAAGTAAAGATGGCTTTCCTGACACAGACTACATCACTCAATGAATGTAGAGTTGTCTATACCAGTATGGATTTAGCAGCACAGGAGTGATGCATCGTGGGCCCTTTTCTATTTGTCATTAGTATTCGTCTTCTTTTAAGCATTCACCAGCTGTAGTAAACTCCGGTGGAAAGTTCTGGTTCTTCATCCAGTTCTGGACATTTTCCAGAACCTTAGTTTTGAACGCACATCTGTTTTACAGATCTGGCTTACTTGTAACCAGGCTGCTGCTTCCTCACCTTTTCAGGCAGAGGCACTCCTACTCTGAAGGAAACAATCCTAATTAGTAGCCTTTTATGACATGTCTGTTAAGGGGGCAATGGGTCTATTTCGTATTTTCTCCATAATGGGGCCCCGGAACCTACACAATGTTGGTTTGGTACAGAATGAACTAATAAATTTGTCAACCACTTAAACACATACTTACTTTTACTCACAAACTAATTCCAAGCACAAATAAGTTACATCTTCACTGTCTAACACTATAATGTTCTACAATTACTTTAAATAGATTGTGAACCAGACTGCATAAAAGACTTTTTACAGTAGAAAATCTGGGAGGAAGACCAAGAAAGAGATTGATGAATGGTGTAGCTAAAATGCGCAAAAAATATGAACAAATCCATTACTCAAGTCACCCGAGAAGCGCAAGACAAATTT